CGACTACTGCGAGGTGTCTATTTTCCAGTGCAAACATACGGCCATTGGAAGCAACACACAGCACAACATGGCTCCTAGGCTTTTGTTCATCGGCATTGGCGTCATGGGGAGGGTGAATATGCGAACGTCTTAAACAGTGAAAGCACCTTGTAGCTGACAGCTTCACCAGGGAATGTGCAAGAATATCGTCGAGAAGGCGAACCTGGACCAGCCTCTGATCCTCTACAACCGCACAAAGCAGACTGCCGTCGAGCTCAGCAACAAGCTGCCAGGGGGTAAGACAGAAGTCGCCGACTCGGTGCAAGACGGCGTTAGTAAAGCCGATATTATCTTCACCTGTCTCTCCAACGACGCAGCTGTTGAGGCAACCGTAAACGAAGCCCTCAAAGTCCCGGTCAAGGGCAAGGTCATCGTCGACTGCTCCACCATCCACCCGGACACGACCGAGAAGCTGGCCAAGCTCGTCGTCGATGCCGGAGGCGAGTTTGTTGCCGCACCCGTCTTCGGCGCCCAGGCCATGGCTGAAGCTGGCCAGCTGATGGGCGTGCTCGCCGGTCCCAAGGCGTCCGTCGACAAGGTGCAGCCGTACTTCAAGGGCGTGATGGCGCGGCTGGATATCGTCATGGCCGACGAGCCGTGCCGCCAGGCAACAACTCTGAAGGTCATCGGCAACACCTTTGTTGTCAACATGGTCGAGCAACTCGCCGAAGGCCACGTGCTGGCCGAGAAGACGGGGCTGGGCACCAAGCACCTGCAGACGTTTGTCGAGAACTTCTTCCCCGGTCCGTACGCGGCCTACTCGGCGCGGATGGTGAGCGGCGACTACTACAAGAGGGATCCGCCAGCTTTTGCGGTAGATCTGGCGAGGAAGGACGCCGGACACGCCAAGAACCTGGCCAAGGCTGTCGGAGTGACATTGCACAATGTTGAGACGGGTGATAACCACTTGAAGGTCGTGAAGGAGCTGCGGGGAGAGAAGGGCGATATGGCCGGTATTTATGGCGCTGTCCGGCATGAATCTGGGTTGCCGTATGAGAATGGTGCCTGAGCTACTACCTTGCCTTTCCTAGGTATCTTGGTGTGGTGTGGTACATAGCTACCTAGACAAAGGTTCCCATCCCTGGCTTGTCACGTTTTGAGATGAGTTGCGGCTCTGTCGTACATATCATATCTGTACCTCACCTATTGTACCCTCGGCCCACGCTGAATAATGTCTCAAAGAGGTAAAAGCGCCCTCGAGTCTCGCGAGGGGTGGTGAATTATGTCTGACGAAAGGTGTTGGAAGCTCCTCCAACGTCGTAATCAAGGAGCTCCCCGCCAACATGTGAGACCCACCTTTAACTTAATTGCACGTAATCGCCCTGAGCAGCTGGACAGGCAACGGCCATTTCTTCCTCCTCCCATTCATACAAGCAATCCAGCACCGCTGTCTGATCTTATTGCTTCCCACCACACCCGCAAAGACATCGAACCGCAACCATGGATAACTTCAAGGGCTTCGGAAAGGCCTTCACGTACGATTCCCCTGTCTCTCCTCGACATCCCTTGCGAGATGGAAACAGCTTGGCTGCATTGCATTGTCAACACGTGAAAGCAAGGAGCGCAAGCTGACATGGACTACTCTCATCAGGAACCTGGGGTCCCAGATCACACCCTTCGCCTCGCGTACCTTCCAGTACACCAAGGAGCAGCTTGGCCAGGCTGAGGACAAGGTACGTCGCCGAGTATTCCGTCTTGGACAGACCGCAAGCTAACAGAGCTCGAACAACAGACCCAGCTGCCCCCTGACTACATCGACCTCGAGAAGCGGGTAGATGCGCTCAAGCAAGTTCATCAGAAGATGCTGGGAGTAACGTACGCCTCACCGCCCTTCCTCTCAGCTTATCTAAGGCACACGCAGTATCACTGACACGCCCGCCCGCGCAGCTCCCACTACTCCCACGAAGCCTACGACTACCCCCCCAACATCAAGGAGACCTTCCAGGACCTCGGCCGCACCGTCTCGGAGAAGGTCACCCTCCTCTCCTCCGCCACCTCCCCCGCCGAGGCCCAGGCCGCCCTGACCGCGCCCCCAACCGCCAAGCCCCAGCCCAAGACCTTCCCGCACGCCATCGCCCGCGCCGCCCTGTCCAGCTCCCAGACCCTGCACCAGCAGCACGCCGGAAGCGGCGAGGACCCGCTGGCGTCCGCCCTCGAGAAGTACGCCCTGGCCATGGAGCGCGTGGGCGAGGCGCGCCTGGCCCAGGACGCCCAGATCCAGAGCCGCTTCCTGGCCGGCTGGAACACGACGCTCAACACCAACCTCAAGTTCGCCGCCCGCGCCCGCGCCAACGTCGAGAAGGCGCGTCTCACGCTCGACGCCGTCAAGGCACGGGTCAGGGGCACCACGTGGAAGCTGGGCGCTGCCCCCGGTGCTGCGGCGCACGACGAGGCCGAGCTGAGCCCCGAGGCGCAGGAGGAGATTGAGAAGGCCGAGGACGAGTTTGTCACGCAGACCGAGGAGGCGGTTAGTGTGATGAAGAATGTGAGTCGCCCCCTTATCATCTATAATCTGTAACACGGAAAACTCGAGGGCAGAAGCTGACTGGTGGCGCCACCCAAAAACAGGTCCTCGACACCCCCGAGCCGCTGCGCAACCTGGCCGAGCTCGTCGCGGCGCAGATCGAGTACCACAAGAAGGCGGCCGAGATTCTGACCGAGCTCCAGCCCGTCATCGAGGGTCTGCAGGTCGAACAGGAGGCAAGTGCTGCTGAGGCGTTTTCTCTCCACTGAAAAAAACACGCATTGTCACAGAAGAAAAACCCGCCGACAGCCACGTGTTGCTGACATGCTCGGGATGAATTAGGCTACCTACCGGAAGAGCCGCGAGAGCACTGCCTGAGCGGCTGGATTGCGAGAGGATGAAGCGCTGGGTGGTTGTAGTTGAGCTGGACGTCTCGTTTTACATGTGAACGCTGGGCTAGGAAGGTCATCGTTGCCAGATTATCTGCTAGGGCGCAATACGGGACTAGTTTGATGGTCACTCTTGTTGCTGTTGTTTCCTTGGTTCGGGTTGAGGCCATTTCATGTTCGGTTCTCTCTTTAGAGATGAGCTGAGCTTCTGTTCTTATAAGACACCCCTTCAATGTTAGAGACAATGGACAGTTATACCCCTCCTATCCAGCCAGTTCAACCACAGCTTAAGTAAGGTTTGAGTTCTATGTGACCCAGTACACCATACACAAGAGCCAGTATAAGAGCCAACACACAATAAATAAGGACGTAGGACACAACATACTGCCATGTCCAGATATATCTTCGTCCTGCGGTTTCGGGTTTTAGCGAGTTTTAGTGCTCTCGCTGGTCCCGGGTCCTAAACCAGGGAGACGGGGATACACTACATAGGTGTTTGGAGATAACGTTGACATCAAAAGCACATGGGTACGGCGACTTTTATAATCTCTCTATGAGCCCCTGGAGCCATACTCTGCCCAACGTAGCTCATCATTATTGTGGTCAATGTGTAATCCATTTTGACAGCCCTTCCGCTTGCCGAGAGTATTCCTAAGACCCTTCGTAGAGAGGAAGCAAGCTCAGGGGCATTTCTCCAGCACTGTTAGAGTCGTCCTGTTGACCGTCCGCATGTTAATGGCATTCACAACCCTTCGCGGAGAAGGATCAAGTTCAAGAAAACTTCGTCGTCTCTTTACCAAGTCAACCACACGCCCCGTCACCGGTCGGGAGACAATTCGAATCATCACCACGTTACGGTTACCCGCCAAAGCCTTAAGAATGGTAGAGGGCAGCGTATAAGTGCTTGTCAAAATCATTGGCTAAGTATGCCGAGGAGCCCGTCTCGACTATGCGGGACGTAGCTGTTATCGTGGCCGAAGCCTTCGATCATGAAATCTTCAGAAAGGAGGTTCCGGGGACAGCAAAATTGACGGTAAACGGCAGGTCTTCTCGTCAAGGTACTAGCCTCGATTCAGCAGCCCAGCAGGAGGGGGTTGTCACGGCACCACACTGGAGTGTCCAGCCTGCGGTTGTCCAACCTGCGGTCCAACAGGCACAAGAAGAGCAGCCCGTCGACCATCAGGCGGAGGGCATCGAGAAAAAGTCGAGCAGAAGATCTCCGTTGCTACCTGGCTCGTCATCTATAAGCCACGGAGAGAGGACGAGACAGGACCGACTACCAGTCCAAAACGGCAGACCACCGGCTGAGGTACCTCCTGGTTTGCTAGTCGCCTTGCGCCAAGGACTTCACACAACCTGCGCGACCTGGGTCAAATATGTCGAAAGTTGTTCCTTACCCGTGGTTCACTCTTCGATGCTGCTGGTTATATTGTTGGTCACACAAGCGATTTGAGACCTGCGGACAAATCCAGCGCGGATAGCACACTCTACGGTCAAGACTCCGGATGAACCGAAATCCATCCAGCTGCTTGAAGCGCCGTCACACCCATACTGTCAAATTAGCAGACTCGGCCATCAACAGCATTAGAACTAGAGGCTGAGCTACCTAGGTATGCCTGAGAGTTCTGACCTCCCAACGCCGGACTCGATTACTACTCCTCGATTACTTACACACGACGCGAATCCACCACCACGCGATATCAGCAGACGACGGCTTCTCGAAGGTCTTGAAGCAGCAAGGGAGGGCAGTCGCTCATCCGTCATATGACCAAGCCCGCGCCAGCGCCCGCGCCAGCGGGCGCGGCGCGCCCAGTACCTTGTGCATGACAGTGAAGATGCTAAGCACACGCTCTACCAGATGAGCTACACCCCCGGACTCGCCCGGCACGCGCTCTGTAACGCCCCGATTGCAGACAGCCAGCTTGCTGGCTGGCTTACACGTAGACTGACTTGTGGAAAGTGGGTCGGTCGTATTGTCATCGGATTTGAGAAAAAAAAAATTTGGGACTGCCCCAACCAGACCGCACAAAGCCATTGAAGAGAGAAAATAACGCGCCCGCTCCACAACAACAGCCACGGGGCGTGCAGAGCGTGTGCCGGGCGAGTCCGGGGGTGTAGCTCATCTGGTAGAGCGTGTGCTTAGCATCTTCACTGTCATGCACAAGGTACTGGGTTCGACTCCCAGCTCCTCCAATTTTTGCTATTTCTGGTCAATTTTTGCTCTATTCTTTTTGTGGGACAGGACAGAGCTAACCCTAACCCTAATTCTCGTACCCCTTACGTACGTACTTTCAAGTGTGTTTTGAACTACTATTTTGTTGTTTGGCTTTGGATGTTGAGCTTAGCCGGTTACCGGTAATATCACTACTGTGTAGACCTCTCTGAAGATCTCATGATGAAAGGCTTCGGCCAGGTACAGCATAGGCGAAGACGAGCTCCTCACCACGGCTAATGACTTTTCAACAACTTGTACGCCGCCAAGGAACCTGTCTCTGAAGACGGAATTTCATGATCGAAGGCTTCGAGCTTGATGATAGGGATTGCATAGTCGAGACGAGCTCCTCTATATTGCCAATCACTGTGAAGCATTTATACGCTGTCGACTACCAGCGTTTCAAGGCCTTGGCGAGTAACCGCAACATGGAGATGCTTCGCATTATCCCCCAACCAGTCACGGGCCGTATGGTTGACCTAGGAAAGAGACTACAAAAGTATCTTGAGCCTAGTCCTTCTCCACGAATGGTCTTAGCAATGCCCTTGAAGCGGAAGACCGTCAGGATGACCCGCGCAGGGACAACGATGATGACAAGCTGCACTGGGCTGGGTATGGCTCCAGGGACTCATGGAGAACCTGCGAATGATCGCTATACCACTCCCAATATGTGCTTTTGATGTCAACATCACCTCGAAACATGGCAGTGTATTCCCCCTTCACCTGGTTTGGAACTCCGGGGCCGGCGAGAACGCCAAACTCGCCAAAACTCAAACTCGCAAGACGAGGATGTATCCAGACATGGTCTCGGCTAGTGTGCTTACAACTCGAACGATGTCACACTCTCAAGGGCATCTCAAAGCCTTGACAGTCCGTCATGACGCTTTTCCTCGCGACCCATGCCAGCTTGCGGTCAAGGATTGAGGTCCGAAGAGATTGAATCAGCACTTCAGGGGGCATACTTGTCGAGATATACCAGTTAGCTTTAGGACGCTGATACGGAGATGGACTGTTGCCCCTTGACGCGCACAAGAGAGTTACGTCTTTAGATCAGAGGAAGATACGCTGAACGGTGAGGACACTAGTCCACCACGCTTGCTGAACAGGCATTTCACTCTCAAGTTTGAGGGTACTATTCTTGAGACACTTTACCTGACCACAAGTATGTTCTCTGTTCCATTTGTTACATTTCGAAGCCCACAGACCCGGACTCCTTGGCCGTTGTTTCGCTTTCCAGTTTTCAAGATCTCATGACATCGCGGCTTTCCGCCACTCGATCAGTCCCTGTCAAGCAGTTGGCCGACCACAAGAGCTGGCCGCTCTTCTAGCAGCCCTTGAATTAAGAGAACAGCGGCGCATACGCTTAGGGCCCTATGGTTATGATGTTGCACCGCCACCAAGTTCTGGACGAAGGTGCGTTTGACTTCCCTCGCCAGATGGATGGGCGCACACAAACTGTCAAGTGCAACATTGGTCACTGAGTTCGAAGTATTGGTTCTTTTCCAGCTCAGTATAGCACGTTCGATGCTCAGTATCTCAATGACTTCATAACCTGCGCGGTCTCCATACTCGGTTGAATGCACTCTCTCCAAGCAGCTATTGGCAATCAGCAAGGACCTTGCAGCATGGTCTTGAGGCTTGAGCTCAATTCCAAACCTCGCACGCGAGGTGGAGGAAAATCACTACCTCGGGTAGGGCCACTTCCCTTCCTTATTCCCATGCCCATCGTCATCTCCTTCACGAGTCGGCACGGAACATACATCCCCTTCCGCATCCAGCGCCACCAAATCCCACTTCTCGCTCCTCTCTAAATCGCTATAGATCATCCCCCACGCCAGCCTCAGCGACAGCGGCAAAGCCTGGCACTCCCGCGGGCTATACAGCCACAGTCGCATCAGATGCCTGCGCCGGTCCAGGCCACCACCCATTGGGCTCGCGTCAGAGTCAGCGTCTTCATGCGCGTCGCGGCTGTACATCAAGCCCATGTTGTTCACGAAGTGTATGTCGCCCCGTCTCCATGGGGACCGCAGCTCGTGGCGGCGGCCGACAGCCTAGGTGCCGCCGAGCCCTAGGATACCGGGTGTGCGAGGGGGTAGTAGTATGGCCGACCCGTCGTCGGCGGGAGAAGTTGGCGATAAGCTTGTCGTCTAAGCGGTGTAGCAGGGCGCGGCGGTAGTAGGCCTGCTCGCGTCGGGAACTGCGGAAAGGAGCGTTATAAGATGTACTCATGTATGTAAATGAGAGTGGGAAGGATGGGATAGCTTACATGTCGAATGGCCAGTTGGGCTCAGCCAACACGTGGATGAGGTCCGACCTAGTGGCGGCGAGTTCGTTGTACACCGTTCACGCGGAGACTAGGACAGGCAGGCTTCCTTGGCGCCGCAGGCCTTGATCAGTGTGGAGATGACGTTGCTGCCGAGGTCAGTATGAATGGCCGTGGAACATCATGAGCTAAATCTCTCGTCATGTGAGGTGTGTCGCGACACGGGAAGGACTAAATATGTCAGTGGTAGCATTATCGGCTTGAATGACTTTGGTTCTATTCAGAACATAAACTAACAGCGTCATACTCAGTGGCAGGCTCAATGATCGAGAGAAGAACAGTTTTGGATGGATGTTGTACTCAGCATGGAGCCCCTGTGGTTCTGCTTGCCATGCAACTCGGCCAGGTGACTTGTCAGCCGGAGGTACACAGTTAACAGGTCGAGATAGTTCAGTTAGCCTCAACGTCGAGGCCGCAGAGGATGGCAAACCCACGTCCATGATAGACATCCTGCTGAATACGGCGAAGCTTCATCTGCAGTTTGGGGAGTGGGAACAAACCCATGTTCACATGTTTGCCCTTCTTGCCTAAAGTCCTGAAGTGGGAGAAAGCTGCCCTGACCTCTTCCTCGTCCGTGAGACGATACAAGAAGAAGGATTTGTCGGAAAGGTCAGAGCCGCCCCAGACGAGAGGGGGCTTGGAGGACGCTAGGTTATCCGCGAGGCACGGCGGCAGGGAGCCTGCTAGCACGAAGCCGTTTTTGCGTACTTTAAACGAACTTGCGCTCATCGAAAGCGAACCCAATGATTGCCCACTTGGCGCCACGGACCGGAAAGGGCACCTTCGTGACAATTTCAGTGCTGTACTTCTGCTGGATGGCGTGCGAGTAGTAAGGAGGGGCGTCTCGCATAAGGGTAGGTGAGATGACTTGCGCGGCCGGAGCCATGATTGCTGCCACTTCGAAGTTCAAGCGATGAAGTAACAATTGCAGAGTTTCAGGATGTTGATCTCATGTGTGAAAGCAACAAATACTTGGGCATCATCCGGAACGTAGGCTCCCCGAGTCTGTCGCGCTCTTTATAGAGACGGAAGCCGCAATGCCTCTCACTGCTGTAGGTTGGAGAGAGCCGTATTCTGGAACCATACTTACAAAGAAGCTTGCCGGAGAACGCGTCAGGATGATGGCACCCCTGTTGCCTATGTGTTTGATCAGAGATGTGGCTCAATTGCTCAAGCTATCAAGGTTCTCATGCTCGCGGACGACTAACTCTCTTACCAATATCACGCACTGAGGGGAATGACAGGCCAATGAGACTCCGGGGATGAGTTGGAAAGTGCAAGTTTGCAAGGTCTTATGCAACATCCTTCATGCACTCGTTGCATGAAGGGGTTCAGTGCCTGGCTTTACCACCGCCGAGAGTTCTAGGACAACACAGACCGGACCATGCAAATGGAAAGACTAGAGCAAAACACAACTGGCACTCTCTACCCGATGGGGCCCGCCATGTTGTGTTCTCACATCACGCATCATCTAGAGGTCGTCTGGGAAAGGGACCCCGGCACTTCCTGCATCAGATGACTTGGTCGAATATCGATGTTTCTGCAGAGCATCGGTGATGACCTGGCCAATGGCCAAAAGCTTCTCTTCTTGCAAGCGGCCGCCAAGAACCTGGACCGAAGCTGGGGCGCCGTCGTAAACCGCAGGGTCATCTTCCAAGGTCAATAAGAGGTACACAGGGTGAAGGACGGTGAAGAGTAAAGACGGACGTACAGGCTTACTAGTTTTTCTTGACCTTGTCCCCGACCGGGACATGACTAGAGTCAAACTTGTCGATTAACTGGTTTGCCTGGGTAAAGGTAATGACTACAGTCGTGTTGTCGACGACATTGGCTGCACCAATACGAGGAGGGTAGCATAGCTTTCCTGGTATCATAGCGACCGAAGGGACGACCGGTAAAAGAACCGCATCGACAGGGCGCCCAGTAGTAGTCTGGTTGGCTGTTGACAGCCAATAATTCTGGTCCTTGACTCTGTACTTCATCAAATCCTGGACTGCCTTCTCAACCTCGATGGCGTTCTTTGGAGGAGCAGCTTTGCCTTTGAGGAAATCGGGGTTTAGCTGCGGAATCAATGGCTCCCCGGAGAGCTTCAGCTGTTCGAACACGTGGTAGGCTCTATCACCCGACGTAATGGCCGCCTAGTCGAATGTCAGTGTACCGTGAGTGCATGTTTTGTGATATATCCTACGTGGACAGCTGAGGCTTCTTGATGGGAAGGTCATTTCTAAGGTATGATCTGTTGAGCTATTAGCATGATTCTCCCTGGCCAGAGATCCCGTATGCAAGGCCGTCTTCGACTTGCACTCCCACGTAGAGAAAAGATAGACGGACCCGGTGCCCGCTCGCCTGTAATGCATCTTTCACCATGCAGAGAGCTCGTAGAATTGGTGGGTGGGATTTAACAATACCGTCAAAGTCCATGAAACCGAACGACAGCTTGGCTAACACATCACCGGCAGGCTTTCTCAAGGAATAGGCAGGACACCGAGGTCCGTAATTCAAGGCTCGCTAGAGACAATCGCCTCGAAGACATGTCTCAACGAGGCAACACAATGACCTAACATGCCAACAGTTTGGATATTGGTCTGGCCAGGTGACGACTTCGGCGTGCCCAGAAAGGGCACTCTCCCTACCGAAGGTTTGATGCTGAAAACACCG